TTTCTTATCTAACATGTGTGTAATTTTTATTAACGAGGAGAAGTAACAAGAATAATATAAAAAAGAAAATCAATCTTCCATGCTGTACTGACAATGCTCCAAAGTCAGAGTTATGACTGTAACTAGCAGAAGAATGCTCTCAAAGTTTACACACACTGAAAGGAGGATATGCAAAAACATGCAGATACACATCGACTAACATGCACACACACACACACACACACACACACATGTGGGCTGATGCAGTAGAACGTTGGGCTTGGTTTACTTGGTGATGTCTCCATGGTAACTATTATGTCTGACCTTCAAACATGTGCACTGCGTTCCATCTGGCTCAGGCCGGCTAATCAGATCACATCAACACACTCATAAATGTTCTGTCAGATCAGCTCGTTGTGAGTGAGCAGAGTTCTTTGCTTGATTTTTAAACCGCTGCTCCGTCATGATTGTCAACCAAAGTTTTACATCACACACATTTTTTTTACCAGTTTACATAGACTTTATGTAAAGATGGATGACACACCTCTGCTTCCTCCAAGTGTCCAGAAATTAATCCAAAATCATGTACTTTGACTTTTTTGTTTGGTCTGTGTCGCATATCCTAACAAGGAGAAGGCAGGACTATACTGCAGCCAGTATTTGAGATGCTTGGCTTCACTTTTGGTGAGCTGTCATGTCATCCATCTTTATATACAGTCTATGGTTGACATACAGCTTATGGTCCTGATTTAGGGATTATACTTTGTCTTGTTTTCATTAGCACACTGACAGGCTATTGGTCTAACAAGATGAAACCATCCCTTTGAGCTGCCGTAGTTTGTGGGGAGTTTTCACTAAAGACTTGAATGAATTAGTGTTTCTTTCATCAACAAATAGACCATTCCCCAGCTCCCTGTAAGTTTTCACAAACTCCTTCTGTGTCTGTCGTCTCTCCTTTGTTCCACCTCACCTCCTGGCTGCTTTCATTTCTGCTCTGTTCAATACACTCATCTGCTCTGCTGCTCGCAAGTTCATAAGGCACTCCAGAAGGGCCAACATCTGGAAGCTCTATAGGTCCAGGACCATGCATCCGTTCTGGGGCAACGAGGCCTGGAGACCAGCCCCTCCTGCGGAGCTCAGGCTTTGGTGTGTGTGGTACCATTCAGTCTCTGCTTCCTGTGTTCTGGTACCTTGATGTGGCCAAAACCATAGTGATGATTTATTACACTGCTAACTCTGTCCCCACTGCTAATATTGCCATTATTATGACCACATACTCCATCCTCCCTCCTTAATCCCCCACCTGCAGCCTCACTCTGAAGCCTTTACCAGATACAGCTGACAAAGCTCTGCATGGCTTACATGAGGAGGGTTGTGTTGATGCCTGAATGGATGTTTGGTCACAACAGAGGATGTTTAAAGATGTGGCAGAGCCGTGCTGTGAATGAGGTGACAAAACTGTTGGGACGATGACAGATATTGTAAATTGACTGCAGGTCAGTAAGAACAGCTATGTCCCTCATCCTAGTTGTATCGACTACTGGTTTGTTGCCTTGTGTGGTTCACCGGTGGCAGACAAGGTCCAAGAGGAACAATATGTGTAGGGGAGGGAGGTAAATTGTTTTCTGGCTGTGAGGCCAATCAAAGCAACCTCATCAAAGCCATTCAACCAGTGTTTCCCACAACCATCCGTGCCTCTTTTCTTCTGTTTATGTAAGTGCCAACGCAGTGTAATCAGCAGGGCTTGAGCAGAGAGGGAGATGGATTGAGAAGAGAAGAGGATGGAGAGGTTCGGAGGCTGAGGAAAGCACTGGGAGAGGAAGAGAACTTTAAAGTGTTTGTGTAAGCAAAGTCAGAGTGGGAAGGGCAGTGGACGGCGGAAGTGAGGGGTCCAGAGATGAGAGGAAGTCCACAGGAGGAGGGATGTGGTGGAGGGGTGTTTACAGGCCCCAGTTACACAGCGTACTGTGGCTTTGTGTGTCAGCAGCTCTGGATCGGTGATGGGTTACCACTACAAACCAATAATCAAGCAATATTTACAGCACTGTGGCACATCAGTCTATTTGTCAGGAAGTGCAACACTTCATTATGCATAAACAACAAAAATAGTAGTTTCTCCATCAGTGGCCTCCTTTAGGAAATAAATAAATGAATAAGGAAAAAAGGAAGTAGAGGCCCAGTTTTTAAACATTCATTCACATGTATACATCCATCACACATACACGTCCAAACACAGATCCCTCCTGTGCCATGTTATACCCGCTGAGACTCAGGTGTGGGTATCCCCCTCCTGTGTTCCCCCATTAGTGGGAGACTCCCCCACAGCCAGCTGGCTCAAAGCTCCCTGGGGGGTATCGTATCCCCTCCACCTCCTCATCTCCTGAATTAGGACAATTAAGATATTTACAGGACAGATGGATGGAAATCCAGCCGCTGCAGCGCCTGCTCCTGAGTTCGGCTCTGTCGGGAATCAGGTGAGATGATGATGAGTGAGAGCTGGAGACCATTAGAGAAACTCACTGGCGGAGCTCTGGCGCCCTCTTATGGTTGTAGGTGAATACTAGTGCGTGTTATTTAAGTTTTTTAAACTGTAGTCTTTTTAGTTTTACACTGATAAATAAACGTTTTTTCAGAAGGATATGTTATTACGTTAAGTTGTTGTATTGTTTTTTTAATTCAACTCTTTAGCTTTTCAGTCAGTTTAATATCAACAATTAATGTAATTTAATCGTGCATGTGTTTGTGGTTTAAAATTGTTCACTATTTTAATAATAGCTGATTTAATTCATGTTAACAGTAATCTGAGTTTTTGGAGGTTTCAACAAGTTTAATTTAAGACTTTTTAAGACCAATGAATTAATTTAAGACCTCAAACATAATCAAAATATGGTGAAGGGGCATAGTAGAAAATAACTCTTGACACATTACATTATTTACTTGCAAACTATAGGCAGAGACAACAGGTGTCCATTATCTTTTCCACAGCCAAGCTGAGTGCACTCAGAGATGAAGTCTGATCAGTTTTACATTGGTCTAGTTTGTAGTTTTATTATGTTCTTGATCATATCTGTATCATTGATAAAGAACAACAACACACTGACATTCCAAAGGATGCACGCATAAAATTGAGTAGAATTACCGCACTGCGGTTGTATGCCTCCGCCAACCAGTCAAAATCTAATCAGTTCATGTTTGAGTCCAAGTGAACGTTTGTACCATTGAAGATATTCCCTTAAGCTGCTCTTAAAAAATCACATTCAAGAAAAAGATAAGGATTCTTTGTGAGGGCACACTGGCTTTAACCTTTGACCTTTGGCTAAAATGAAATCCCCAGTTCAAGTGAATGTTTATACTCAATGTGAAGGAATTGCACGCAGATGAACAAACAGTGTGGACATTTATTAGCATAAAATAAAGTAGCAAAGATGTGGTACCATCCAATCACACATTGTCACATAAAAAATAAAACACATTGTGATTACAGCTTCTTTGGTAAGTTTTTTTACAAAGTAGAGATGTTTTTTTGGTTATTTCAATCGACTGACAGCTGAAGTCGAACCAAATCTTTCATCAATGACATGGCAAATCCTTCTTGTTCAAAATTCATCCTGTTTATTAATGAGTATAGTAACGACACAATAGGCTGATGTGTAGAGTAATTGTGAGTTTTAAAGCTCCTGCAGTGACTCAGATCCTCTGTACCGTAGTGCGCCATTGCTCACCCACCTACAGAGGAGGAGAAGAGGAGGAAGTCACAGTGAAGTCTATTGATTGTTTTAATTCTCCATATAAATGTGTATAAATGGTTCAGTCACTCACATGCTCAGGCTGCCTTGTTTCTGTTTTATCCCTGCGGACGGAAAGCGGCAAAATCAAACAGGGCAACTTGGTTTGGGTCTCTGAACAAGTTTTCACTCCTACGCATACTCACGTCGAAGTTGCCATATGGTTACTATGGCAACAATCAACACCACCAGGACCACCGGCATCACGATGGCAGCGAGGTGACCATTTTGACGCCCGTTGACAATCGCCTGACAGAGGGGATTCAAAGTTTAGCTTCACTTCCAAACTTGGTGTTTGTGCAAATGCAGGGATTGAAACTTACAGCAGCATCAGGTGATACAGAGTCAGGTGATACAGCGTCAGGTGATATGGTGGTAGCAGAATCATTCTTCTGATGACCTGTCACACACACAGGGAAGAAGACGGGGGGGAAATTTTGAAAGTGTTTCAGATAAATGATTCCCAGAAAGAAAAAGAAGAACAATTAATATTTCCTGTCAAATGAGGAACTGTGAATGTTTAGCTCATTTGTATTCTTGGGCTTTCTTACTAAGTTCAAATAAGGGTACTTTTGATTCCAAAAAATGTATCAACGTATTATTATCATGTGTATTTTTATTGAATGCCATACAGCTCAATTGCTTAAAGTGGCAGGTGGAACACACAACATGAACTCAGAGATATCAAAATAGCCACCCTGACTCAGCAGTAATGATGTAGTGGAATGTGGCATTAGGGAGTACGATACACTCGGCAAGTAACTTTACCTGTAATACTTAAATTATATTTAAAAGTAATTATACACTTCCTTGTACTTGAATAGAAAAGGTTAATAGGGTATTTTAACTTTTACTTGAGTAAATGTATTTGTTCCTTTAATTAAAGGTCCAGTTTGTAAGATTTAGGTGAAAGGGATCTATTGGCAGAAATTAAACATTAATATAATCCTAGTGATGTTTTTACTAGTATCTAATCATCTAAATTGTACAAATTGCTATTTACTTTACCCTAGAATGGGCCCTTTATATTTAAATACACTATATTTACATCTGGAGCAGGTCCTCTCTACTGAGGCCGCCATGTTTTTTAGTCCAAACTGGATAAACTAAACCTTTTGAGTTTCTATTACCACTGAAAGCTACCATAGGTTCTCTCTAAGGCTGCGAGGGGAGGGTGATGCGAGGGGTATTCAGCTGCAACATGACACTTCACCACTAGATGTCACTAAATTCTACACACTGAACCTTTAAGTATAATGTTTGAGTTCAGCACCTGTTCTTCCAGTAGTGATGATGAGGACGTTGCTGGCTTTACTGGTGCCCAGACTGTTCTTGGCAAACATGCGGATGTTGTAAGTTGAAGGATTTATCTCTATTATTGTGGCCTCTGTCTGGTTAGGGCTGAAGTCTACAACTGCCTTTGTGTAATCCCATGATGCTGTGGATGGAGGGGAAAAAAAAGATTTTACCTAAAATTAAAAATGCTGTGACAACAATTTTAGTTAACTATAATGAATTGATTTTCTCTTACCGTTCACTCCTTTGTACTCCAAGTAATAACCCGTAATGGGGCTGTCACCTTCGAAGCCAGGAGTCCAAAAAAGGGAAATTGAATTGTCTATGACCTCTTTTAACTCGACTACTGGGGGATCTGGGGGCACTAGAAGACACACATGGTAAGACACGTTCACCAAAGACAAATATAGATTTTTAAATTTATACCTGATTCTTTATACTGTGATAATGTGATAATGATGTCATGTACAGACAAATCCCAGAGCTGTGAATAATGTGTCTAATTACATTTTGATGAAAAATCTCAAATAGAAAATACGTGATTAACATGAGAACAACTTTTAACACCTTCTTGGATGACAGAATTCACTGCATCAGAGGAGTTTGATTGAAACACAAAGTACCTGAAATAATCCATGTGGTGCTTTGTTCCCAGACTGTGGCATCAGTAACAGACTCCACTGCTGGGAACAAGGTGAAAAAGTTTTATTGCAGTCATCATTGATTATTAATTATTTAAAGAAAATATCTTTCATCATAAATAATAATTTTCTCAAGATGTTTAATAAGGAATATATCATGTGCAACTCAAAAACACGCAGTACCTCTAGTAAAACTTGAAGTGTCTTGTCTCTGCATCGTGGTATCAGTAGTGGGACTCACAGTTACAACTTCTGAAGTTGTATCGACTAGAAACAGAATCAAAGCAGTTTCCAGTCTCAGAAAATAATCTAATTCATCTAATTCATATTTCCGAGACTTTACCTTCATCCAGAGTGGTGCAGAGTGGTGCAGTTGAGGCAGGTCCGATCCCTGCGTTGCTTTTGGCCTGAATAAGCACACCGTACTTGGTGGAAGGCTTCAGGTTGCTCAGGATGATGCTTTCCATGTCCAGTGTGGCCGTCACACTCTGGTGCTGCCACTTCTTAAACTGTCTGCCTGCAGGGTCGTACTCTCTGTAGCTGACGCTGTAACTCCGCAGCAATCCGTTTCTAAGATTAAAGCTCGGAGGCTTTTAGTCAAGAAGGAAAACACCTCTCAGAATCGTAAAATGTTTCACAGTATTTCCCTTTACACATATTTTCCTCTAGCTCTGATGCTTTAATTTTCTTTTTTAGAATGCTGCTAAAGTTTCTAAATTGTGACTTTACCTTCCACGTCACTTTGATACTGTGAGAGGTGAGGGCCTCCAGCTGCATATCCAGGGGTGGACCCTCTGGTGCTGCAGGGAAAATACATTTTAAAGTGACCATCCGTCAAAATAAAAAATGTAGTTACTTCTAAAATGATAAAAACTGACTGACTCTACCTGCTTCTTTTGTTGTGATTGTCAGAACGTTGCTGGCCTCGCTCATGCCCATGCTGTTGACAACGAACATACGGAGGTTGTAGGACTTGGCCGGACGCAAATCCATCAAAGTCACCTGGGTCAGTTCAGGATTTGAGACTTCAGTCCTCACTGCGGTATCCCAGGATGCTGTGCAACAGGAACACATAAGATCCACACCCTATACTCCAAAGTATAACGTTTAATTAGCTGCCTAACGACCAAACGTTTCCTTGTGCTTACTCTGTTTGTTTTTCAAATCAACCATGTAGGATGTGATGGGCCTGCCACCATCAAACACAGGATTCCAGCGGACAGTAACCGTTCTCTCCTTCACCTCTCTTATCTCCACCTTCAGGGGGTTAGGGCGGACTGAAGAGGAAGAAAAACAGACATTGTGTAGAGCTGACAAAATCTGATCAAAACAGAAAATCACAACTGTTCAATTTATTTATGGTTTAAAGGTTCAGTGTGTAGAATTTTGTGATATCTAGTGTTGAAGTGTCATATTGCAGCTGAACACCCCTCACCTCACCCTCTCCTTCCAAACATGAAAAAGAACATGTGGCAGCCTTTAATTGTCATAAAAACTCAAAAGGTGTTTAGTTTGTCCAGTCTGGACTAATGTAAAAAACATGGAGGCCTCTGTAGAGAGGGTCTCCTCTATTTGAATATAAAGTATTTGAATATAAAGCGATTTTTCTGGGGTAAAGAAAACTACAATTCATACAATTTAGATGAAACGAACTAGTGAAACATCATGAGGATTATTCTACTATTCCATTCCTTTCATCGAAATCTTACACACTGGAGTGTGTAAGATTTCGATCATTCATCAATCATTCATCGGTCATTTCTTGTCAAACACGTGCTTGTTCAAACTTTTTAAATCTGAGAATTTCCAGGTTTCAAAAATTAAATTTGAGGGACAGTCTTCATGATTCAATGAGTAAGGACACACCAGGAAAACTTTGAATTTGGACACCATAAAGGACACATCTTTCCATGAGAGTCTCACCTGCCACCACAGTCAGGGTCACCTGATGTTTTTGATCATTGAACCAGCCCGGTATATGCACACGGCAGCCGTACTTCCCTGAGTCGCTCTCTTCCACCTGCCTGATGGTCAGCGACACATCGCCCTCGTCCAGATTACCCATGAGCAGGTAGCGCTCTGACAGCCTGCTGATCACTGACGTCCCATCTGACTGGATCACCTCATCGCTACAGCCACTGCTGGGAATGGCTCCACGGCCCCAGCACACAGAAAGCTTGCCGTAGTACTTGGCATCATAATTGCAAAACAAAGTTGCATCTGTTCCCACTGTGGCTATGATGCTCGATGTAGACGCACAACCTAAAGACGCAGAAAGTACCAATGATGAACACATGAAATTAGAACTTCATTGTTTAATCATCTGTGAATAAAAATGCACATGGCTATCTTACCCAGCAGAAGACAAAGAAGAAGACTGCAGCACAGAGGAAGGTGTATGCTGCCCGATACAACCATTTTACAAACCTCAATCGATTGGAGGATACGTTCACCTGCTAAATGACACTAAACCAAACTGCTGTGGTTTCAGCTTTGAAATCTTTCCACATCACATGACGCCGTCCTTGATATGCTCACACAAACAACTTCTGCCGGCAGAAGACCAATGTCGAAAGCAGCCGTTTCCTTTTCTGCGGTTTTAGTTCCTTAAGCTAGAAGTGCCACACTCTACGATTTTTGATGATGAGACAGAAAGAGGATTGAGGTTATCGACTCGCAGTCCTGATGTTTGTTCTCTAAACTTGTGATGGTTGGAGGAAGAGAAAGACATTTGTGAAGTTTTCAAACTCTTCACGTCTCCCTCGGTTGAAGGAGCTTAGCAGAGCAGCTTTGCGTTCTCTGCAGCAAAATGTGACATCAAAAGAGAAACCTCTGGAGAATAATTAAATAAAAAATTATGAATCAAATAATACATTTTATAAACTGAGCTCAAACACAAGATGGTTTGAGATATAGGCCACAGTGTAACCTCATATTAACGCTGATGAAAATAGAAAGTCTGGTTTACTCAGGGGCAATGGACTGCAGTTAGACTGCTGAGTAAACAGTTGATGCTGCTGCATGTTTAGTAACAACAGCACTTCCTCTCTGATCATCCCCCCAAAATAAACACATGTTGTGCCGTTAATGACAAATATATTTCAAAAAAACCTTAAAAAACGTTTCTGGATTTTCCTTCATTTAATATTTGCAGAAAAAAACAGATTCAACACAATTACACCTGGTGAGTTGAGCTCCTCAAATACACAAATCTAAACATATTCCGATTTTTTTGCCCAATTTGAATATTTCAGATTATTTTCTCATGTGAGTCGTCACATTTAACATTCTTGTAAACACAGTCATAGTTTGATTCGCAGCATTTCCTTCACTGACTCACAGAAACCATTGCTCCATTCCTGATTTCTTGAATTTTGGTGACATTGCAACAGTAACTAAAACGAAAGACTAAAAACAAGAGCAAAATTAGTTTTTGTTTCATTTCTCTAATTATAAATTACAAGTAACAGTAACACAGCAACAGGAGGAGAAAGAGAATTAATGTAATGTGAGAACATGAAGGAAAGTGAGTTTGACAGA